TAATTTTTGGGTATTTTTATGTGCGAATTTTTGGAATAAAAAAAGAAATTTTGATATTACAAAATTATTTGAATGAAATTATTGTGAATGAGACTATTGAACCAAGTAGATAGGTTCAAATACATGAAATTAAATTTTAGAATTCAAGTGACTGAGACTAAATTCTTAAAATATATATATATATATAAAATAAAATAAATACTTAAGTGTTAGAGTATGAGTGAAAATTGTGTTAATAATATTATTGACATATCGAGATATGATCAATTATAGATTAATTTTTTTTTGACACCATTCAAGTTTTGGAAGCTTTGGAAGTGTTGTAACTTGAGGGGTAACCTTTGACATCTCAAAGGTTGAGGTAACCGAGAGAAATCTATTTTATGCATTTATATGTTACTTGATTAATTATGTTGGTGAAATAAAAATATATATATATACATATATATGTCTAAATTTTGAAATGATTGTTTATAATGCATGTGGCTTGATTGAGACTCTATGACTTGTGACCAAGTTAATTATGACTTGATGTGAGTAATGAGATTGATGGTTGATGATTATGTGTACACTCTTGGTTATAAGTTGTGGATTATGCACATTGATGAATTGTATGATCATGTTGAGTTTTATATGATGCTAATGTGATTTTGTATGATAATTTAAAAAATTGATGCAATAGGCATGATTGAAATATGATGATTCTTAATGTTTGTTGAGCAAGAAAGTTGATGAGCATGTGGGATAATTTTGAATTATATATATGAGTTTTTGAAATGCATTTTCTCATGAGTATGATCATATGGCGGGAGTTCGCCTTAGTGAAGGAGTTAGCAGTTATGCAAAATTCATATGGTACCTGGCTATTAATCAATAATTCTAGGGGTTATAGCCGCTACTTACCTTGTAAGGTACAGTAGCATTGTTCCTATTAAGGAACTTGACCCTACCGGCCTACCTGGAGTTTTGGGTAGAGCTAGTTTTGGGTATGACACTTCATAGTGTGTGATTTGGAAGAAACCGTGTTCATAAATGAGTAAGGTAACCCTGGCTTGGTAGCCCCTCATGATATGATTAAGGCTTTGGGTAGTCTCACCACATGGACGATCCCTTCTGGTTGTTGGCCCACGGATTTCATGTCAGGGGAAATAAGGGGGGATATAAGGAAGAGATTGATCCTGCATATTATTACTATCATGCCATTTGAGTAATTGATGGCTATGTTGAGGATATGATTATAATTGTAGAAATGAGAACATGCAGTAATTATGTGAATAATGTATATGTGGCTATTTGTGCAAATTTTATACTTGACTTTATTCTTGAAATTATTCACATGAGTTAAATATTAATGTGATTAACATGTTATTGATGTGATTGTTTGAATGATCACCTTGATAAATTTATTGGCCACTTACATTCATGATTAATTATCATGCATTTGTATAACTTAGATATACCTTGGTTACTGAGTGGTTGTACTCACCCCTCTCTTTTAACATATTACAGGAGCTAGCTCATCTGAGAATAACAGAGGAAAGGAGCATTAGACTAAGTGATAATAATCACTTCTGTAGGCTCTCTCTTTTTATTTGATATGTGTATTTAGTTTATGATATTACCAATTAGGATAATATATTTTTGATTCACTTGCATTATGGGTTTTGTGTTGGGGAAAATGTATTTTGGGCCCTGAGAAATGTGGTTTGATGCTTGTGCTATAATTACGGGCTAAAATATTTGTGCAAGTAAAAATAGTTATTATCATGCTTCCGCATATGTTTAATTAAATGATACGAGTTCTTAAAATATTTTAAAGACTTTGGATCCCTTTATATTAAATAGTTTAAAAAAAATACATATTAAGAATTTATTTGGGTTAATCTCGTATTGGATAATCTATTTGAATTAATCCTTAATTAACCATGATTAATATGATGATTAAATCCTAATTTAAAACGCCCTTTACAAGAACTTTAGACCAAAAGTGGTGACAAGATTGAGTAATTTTTTAGACGCCATGAGTTGTTGAAATAAATGATTGTATTATCGCATACTGCTATTTTGATTATTGGCTCCCGGTGGTTTGGGTAATATAAAAAAAAGAAATGAAAACACACTTTTTGTCTAGGATATAAAACATTTTTTTTGAAAAGTGATATATTTAAATATAAAAAGCATTTAATAAAAATTTAAATACATCTAATATTTTTTGCGTAAAATATCTATAAGAGTATGGAATTTCGAAATTTTTCATCTCAAATAAAAAAAAATAAATAAGTGATATTAAAAAATAAAAAATTAAAAAAATTAAGACATCTAAGCTATTTTTACACGCTAGATAAAAATATTTTATATCAAAATATGTAGAAAATTATAAAAATTTAAAGATTATTTTTACCCTTGAACTGTATGTGAAGGTTTACAGATGATCATAAATTAAATTATAAATCATTTATATCTCTTAGTCTAAAAAAAAATTTTATGTCATCACCCTATTGTTTTATTTGCCTATTTTTTTTGTTAGCAGAGCCCACTTTTATTTTTTAATATTTTATTACAAAATATTATTTGTGGGCCTCACATTATCTTTTTATATTTTTATTCTCTCCCTCTTAGCCCTCTCAAGTTTCTTGATCTCATCACCTTCTCGTCCACACTCTCTTCTCCTATCTTATTTTCTGCTTCATCTCCTTCATTTCTCATCTCCCTTTGCTTCATCTCTTAGTCTTTCAAACTCCCATCTCCCCCCTTCATCTCCTTCTCTTCTCTCTCCCTACCTTCTCTCGTAGTCTCCCATTTCCCATCTCCCTCTCTACTTTGCTTCTCAAGGACAACATTAGGCTTCAACTCTAGCATCCAGGGGATCCCAATGCTGCTTAAGGACAGTTCAACAAGACAACAATAGTAAACCTTGTGGAAGATGAAGACTAGAGAGAAAGGAGTACCGTGAGCTATACATGCATGTATGCATGAAGGTGCTATGATTGAAGCTATTTAAGCTTTCGACCAACGGCCATCTCCTCTACTTTCTCTCCTTCCCTCCTCCCTCCCTCTCTTTCTCACCCAAGCTTGCATGAAGAATTCATGGACACATACTCAAGCCCTCCATCGACAACCTCTAAAGGACCCACACATTACTCTAGTGAACTCGTGCAGTCAAGCTTACCTATTTTTTCTATTAAAAACAAAGATATTAACTTGTTTGAGTTCATTAATTTCTACTGGATCCAATGATTGAGCTTGGTGAAAATTTGGAAGGGTTAGCGAAGAAGAAGTCCAAACTTGTCATCTATAGTCTTGGATTTTGGAACAGAGGTCACTATTAAGGTTGCTAGAAAACTTGCTCTGTTCTTGCTTTGTGGTTTATAGCAAACCCACTCGCGTCAAGTGGGTTTGGACTTAAACAAGTTTGGATAGAGATTAGGAGGAGAGAGGGAGAAAAAAAATTAAAAAAATGAATGATGTTAAAAAAATTAAAAAAAATTAAAATTTTTAATATTTTATAATAAAAATATTAAAAATTTTAAATGTGGATCCTATTAATGTTTAAAATAGATAAAGTTAACAGTAGGATGATAAAAATTAGATTCTTAACAATTTAAGGATAGAAATAATCTGAAATTGAGTCTAGAAACATTTACGTGCTTTTGCGTATATTTTAGATACAATTGTTTTACCCTTGAGTCAGTTATAAAAGTAAAAAAAAAAAAATAGCACCAATTGTAAGTAATTTGAAAAAAAAAAAAAAGAAGAAGAAAGAAAAGAATCTAAATGATGCGGCAACTTGCCAGTTGCCACCCCATCAGAAGTGCTGAAATGGGAACAGTGAGGCTGAAAGGGCGAGACCAACAATGTTTGGAGGGTGCATGATCCGACAACACTCCGACCGCTCAGCATGGCATCAATATTCACGGAATTCAAATCACTCTGTTTTTTATTTCTAAATTCCACTGCATCATTCATTGGCCTATCTCACCCCTGGTGCCGGTTAGCACCCACACTGCCCCCAACCTAAAATTAGCCACCACGCTGCCATAATGAGAGATTTATAATTGTGGACAAAAATGATCAATTATTTATAAATTAATACCTTAAAGTTTTACAATTATTTTGAAGGACCAAAGTCCCTTTTTAAAAGGAAAAAACATTGAAATATTTATAAATCAAATAAGCTACATCATTTTGTAATTCAAAGGCACATACTCCCTCCATTAAAAAATATAAAGCATTTTTAATCAAATATCGTTCTCAATAAAGTAATTATCTACTTTCAAACTAATTATATCTTTACATATTTATCTCTAGTAAACACTCTAAATATAAAGTCATTCATCAATAGAGGTACTTTACACTTTAAAAATTAAAAATATTTTATATTTTTTAATATCAAACTTTTCAAAAAATATTTTACATTTTTTCAAGGGAGGGAGTATTAAAATTTCAATACTAAAATAGAGAAAAATTTTGTAGCCACATCATGCATGTGGGTATTCTTAAAACATTAATTTCTTAATGAAAATCATTAAATTTGGCAACACAAAAACTGCTCTTTCAATTAGAGAATCATATGTTTAAATCAATGTTCATAGGTTGTGGGTTTGTACATTTAAATTGTTAAATTCAAAAGAGCACTAATTTTTTTACATATGATCATTATTTTTCTTATTTTTAATATTAAATTATTTATGTGTAACTATTTCACAAGATAAAGTATTTGTCTTTTATGTATATGATTCGTCAAATACATTCTCTTTCTTAAAAAGGCTCTACATGTTTATAATTATAATTTTAGAAAATTTGAGATCTTTATATATAAAATAACTTTTCACCTGGTCTATGAGCACAATTCTCGCTTGCACAATTGCTCAATGAAATGGCCATTCAGAGTCAAAATGGCCAAGGTCGATCTCGTCATTCCGTAGCAGAATGACCCAGGGCAATTTTGTCATTCCAAGCCAATGAACCCATGTTATAAGCGCTCCCTCCCCCACTCTCTCAACATTAGTCGCTAGCGTCATTCACACCCGCTGTCTAAAACAGCCTGCTCCGCAACCCCAGGCGTCCGCCGGGATTCTTATTCCGGTCATCGCTATATACTTTGCTCCCATAATTTTCATTCCTCTCTCTGCCCTATTTTCTATCTCCAGCTCTGGCGCAGTCTTGGTGACCATTTCTTGGCCAAACCTTCGTAACTGTGTCTGCTCGGGTGCTTCTGACTCTGCCTGCAGAATTCGAAACTGTCGCCCGCAAAACCCCACCATAGCTGGGCGAGATTGGTCGGTGCATGATGGGATTTTGTATATGCCCGTTGGAAACGCCTGCTAGGTTGCTCTGGAGCACCAGCTTCTTCCGCCACAAGCTAATGATTTTTTAACTCTGGACCCCTTTGATTCCTAAAAGTAAATACTATACTGAGACCCACCTGTTCTATTTTCTTTTGCCTCATCTGTCGCCGGAGTAAGCATCTCTGGTGGTCATCGGTGGGGAGTGTCGTCGAAGACCCTGTACGCTTGCGGAAAGAGGGCGAGGCTTGAACTATGGAGGCCGGCCGTCTTTTCTTTGGCCCCTCCGTTTGCCGCGGGAACATGCTGTTTCTCGGGAATGGTGATCCAGCTTATCGAGGTGATTCACAACACTTCGCCACTGGGTTTTTTTTTTGGGGAAATTTTTTACCCTCTCAAATATTTTTTGCAACGTTGCCTTGTCTTCAGCGATATGCCAATATGTTGTTTCATTTTGCTTGGTGGCTTAAATTTATGTTTTTTTTTTTTGGTCGCTGTCGAGAAAATTACTCCGTCATAGCCAGGAATACAATACCACAATCTGGACTGACATAAACGGAAACCACTTAATTGCATAAAACTTGGTTTACATTAGATATTTGATGCCCGTAACCTGGACCATGACGAACTAAACTATTAAAAACGTTTTAGTTTTATTGTTTCGTTCCTTCTTCATCCGAACCATAAACTTGAGTTGCAATGAAAACAGGAGGATCGATTATAAGCTTGGACGAAAGCTCAAAGAAACGACCATTTTTCAGGTCAGCGGATGAACTGTTCGATGAGGAATATTACGATGAGCAGCTGCCGGAGAAGAAGCGACGCCTCACTTCCGCGCAGGTTGGTTGATTGACTAGTTAGCTCAATATATACGCTGCCGCTTGGTCTTACGGTTTTATATTGTATAAAATCTGAAACTTCAATATTATCCGCTACAAATTTCTGATTTAATATGAATCTGGATTTCAGTTCTTTTGATGCAATAGATCTAAGATATAAACTTCGCAGGCATGAAATGATTGATTTCAACCCATTTATTGTTCCCCCATATAGCAAGGTGCATGTATGCATTAGCATTAATTACCCGTTGAGGCTGAATTCAATCTCAACTCCAAGATACTCTAGATTGTGAGTATGTATATTTCGTCAATATAATTTGTAATCCCTTGTATATGGATTATTTAACGTTTAGGTGCTTCTGCTGGAGAAAAGCTTTGAAGAAGAGAACAAGCTGGAGCCGGAACGGAAAATCCAGTTGGCCAAGAAGCTTGGATTGCAGCCAAGACAGGTGGCTGTGTGGTTCCAAAACCGCAGGGCCCGTTGGAAAACCAAGCAAATTGAAAGGGATTATGATGTTCTCAAGTCTTCCTACGACGCTCTCCTTTCAAAGTACGACTCTATCCTCAAGGACAATGAAAAGCTCAAATCAGAGGTACGCATACACTGTCTCTCAAGGTCCATTTGGTTCCGGTTTATTAATACCCCAAGCAAAAATAAAAATCAATCATAAATATGATGGAAAGTTGAATCGATATTAATTACTATTGATTATGGATATCAAAGTCTTTATATTAAATATAAAAAAAATGTAAGGATCTGTATTGTGCTTTTGTGCGCGTCAGGTAACTGGGTAAGGTGCTGTATTAGATAAAGTTAATAATTAATGCCTTCCCAATCAGGATTCCATCATAGGAAAAGGACCCACGACCTATTAGATGATTTGAAGCTTTACTAAGAGGGTCCCGCCAATGAGATTCGACCATATTAATTAGCCACATACTTCTAAACGTGGCATCGGTTCTGAGCACCACCTTCACTATTAAAAGGCCCTTTAAGCGTAGCTGGATGAATATACCAGGTAGATCTCTCGAAATATGCCAATACTTTCTATGAAAAAGACGTACACTTGCATTTCAAAGTGAGTATGGAGACCAGTCCACAAACTAATGGGTCTATGCTTATCTTTGATAATGATGACATGATATATATATATATATATATATGTATATGTATATCTTATTATAGAGTGACAATTGACTATTGACAATTCCTCAGGTGGTAGCCTTAAACGAGAAGCTTCTAGCTAGGGAGATGCCACGAGAACCATTACTTGAAGAAAAGGCCGATCCACTTATAATGGAGCCAGCCCAAATGCCTGCCCTACCATTCAACGTAAAGGTGGAGGACCGTCTCAGCAGTGGGAGTGGTGGAAGTGCGGTGGTGGACGAGGATGCTCCACAGCCTGTCTTGGACAGCGTTGATTCCTACTTTGCAACTGAGAACATCGGTGGGTGCGTGGCTGGGGTCAGCGGGGTTCCGTCGGAGGAGGACGATGGTAGCGACGATGGCAGGAGTTACTTCTCTGACGTGTTTGTGGCCCCTGAATCCGAGAACCAAAACCATGAGGAGGGAGAGGCGTTGCATTGGTGGGTGTGGTCTTAAATCAAGCCTGTATTAAAGAGAGACAGAGAGAGAGAGAGAGAGGGGAAAAAAATGTAATGATGTAAGGTGTCGTGCAAGAGATTAGTGTTTTACACGATAAAGCAGATTGCGAAGAGTCTGTTGTTTGTTACAGATGATGGGGATGGGGGCATCAAAGAAAACTTCAACGTCTGTTTGAGGTGCTGAGATCCCTCGGATCAATGGATCCAAAGCTTGAGTTTAATAAATAATTGGTTAATGACGTCTCATGTTGTCTTATCTCCTTCACGGTGTAGTTCGCCCTCAAAGGTCGACGACTAAGCTTGATCTATAATGTCATATTCTTTTTCTCTTTTAAAAGAATAATGAGTTGAGAAACATCAGCAATGTTATAATTGAAGTAATGCAGGTGACTCGAGTCTAATTAAGTTGAAGGTATCAGACATTCGGTTAGAAATTAATAACGGAACTCAACTGTTCCCATGGGACCAGCTTCCTCAGAAACATCTCTACGTCTCAAATAGTGGGCTTTCCTCTTTTCCGCGGGCTCAGTGGAAAGAGGGGGCCAAATTTGAAACCCCTTCAAAAGCAAGTAATGCGGGTTTCAGTATTGTTTTGCAGAGAATCAAACCATGGGCTTCATCATGACCCACCAAAAAAAGCTACTCTCTCCACAAAATGACACGAAATCAGATATTGTCAGTCTACTCTTCTTCACCTCTTGGATAATTTACTGTCACTTTGTGCTGCCAAGCAAGATTCTAACTGAATCATGATCTCATGGAGCCGATCCAGCATTCCTCCTAATAAAATCAAGTCGTCAAAATTTGCATTCTGCACTAATACCCAAACATGTGACATCTAAAACTTGCGTAACGAGCCTGCATCGTTCCCACAAGTATTCATGTTGATATAAAGCAGTCTCAGTCTCGGACCTAACTATCTGCGTGCATGAAAAATCCCCCTCGCAGTAACTTGATCCCTGCTGAAATGCTTAAATATAATGACCTGTCTTAATTAATTGAAACTTCCATGACCACATACATAATAAAATTGCTGAATGCAAGTCCTCCAAATCCTAATATAAAGGTTTACCATATTTTAAGTAAAATCAGTGAACAGCAATGCTAATCTAACACCTATTGCCTAACATGGACGAAAGTTCGTGGCGGTCAACTTAAACCTTCCGGGTGAAAATGGGTAGAATTATCCTTGAACTCTGCCACTGCAAAATGGATTCTTTCAATTCTCGTTCTTCTGGGCTGTTTTTTTATCCTTCAACCAAGTCAAGAGTGCTTCAATTTCTGATTCAGTTTGACAAGCAATCCGTGGTGAAGAGCAGCTCAAAATATTCTTTGCCCCAGATGTTAAAAGATTGGGAAGCCTTCTCCAGCCCGGTCAGAGAATTGGCCCACAGTGTCTCTGCCATTTCTCATTCTTCTTCCATGCGCAGCTCCGCAGCACCTAAATGGACAACTATGTATGGAAATATATCCCTTCGCTTTCACTTCTGTTGGTTCCTTTGAATGTATATGAGCTGTTCCTCCAGAGCCATCGACTTTTTGAGGCATGAGACATGTCATCATTAGAAGAGCTTTACATGATATATCCGTATTTTACCGCCGTTTACCACAGCACAGACATCTTTCTGCTGTTCCTCTCCATCCGTATCTGCAGAATTCATATTTTGAGACCCATTGGCTTTTATTAGCACTGTTCAACCTGTTCTCACTCTTCATTCATGGGTAATGAGTTCAGTCGGGTCTCCTAAATTGTTACTTGTCAGGTCCGTATATGGCTGAACGAAACATTTTCCCAGGGGTTTGTTCCAGAATAAAATTGTGATCATGAATTAATTATTTGTTGGGCCAACGATTTGCCAGGGTTTGAGAGTGATGTTGCGACTTGTGAGTGTAAGCATTTGCTCGAGACCAACTTCGGCAGCAGCGTTTAATTCAAAATGGATCCCCTTTCGTAGCTTTGTGGACGAGCGAGGAGAGGGAACTTGGAGTGCAATTGAATTGTGTCATTCTCTCTTAAATATTTTTTATATCATTTGGTTAATTAAAGATACGTATGTTTAGGATTTTTCGTACCTGAAAATTTATTTTTTAATACAAGGCGGGTAGATAAATGTAACCAATTTTTACATTTTTGAAAATTATATTATTACAATAAAAGAAGTTAGTAATTTGCAACCCGTCTGACAAAAAATATTAATTAATGTAGGTAAATTGGCCTCAAAATAACGGCTTACCTAAAATTCGGTGGTTCCATCTGGAATGGGAGGAATTTAAATTCAATGGTTGGGATGGATTAAGCAGATGAAAAGACCATATTAAGGTGCTAATCCACATCAAAATGAATTGTTTAATCCCTGTCAAATGATAAAGCATCATTTCAAATCAAATCTCTCCGCCACCTTTCATTGAGTTGGAGCGTCGGTGAATTGAATTAAATGAAATTAACAAGAAAAGCGAATCGGGAGGCATAAATGGTAAATCTTGGGAGTGGCAGGAGTCAGCAATATGAGGGGAAGGAGTTGGGCGATTTAGGAAATCGGGAATTAAAAGAATCGGTTGACCTGGCGATTCACATGCGATATTACCCAAACTTGCCGGCCTTGGTCGGGTTTTCCAGTTGTGGCGTCGTCTTGCGCGACTCCTGTCTTCGCCGGTTACACAATCTTCACTTCCTATAGTGCCCTCACTTTCTCTGCAACTCCTTCCTGTCTCTCTCTACTCTTTTTCATCTTTTCTTCTCCATTTTCTGGTCCATCACACTCTGCCTCCTGTCTGGTAATTTCTGTCTCTTTCCTCTTTTTCTTGTTCTTTTCACTCTAATCGAACGCGGGTTTGATCGGCATTAGGCATGGCAACTACTGTTTTGTTTCCATGTTTCAATCAATTGAGTTGGAATTGGATTCAAATGCTCATGTAGTTCATAAAGAATCGGGAGTGTAAAGCAGTGTAAACCGAGATCTTGATACATTCTTGCTGCTATTGGGATTAATTCTAGTATAGCGCAGCTCCAAGGTTTTTGGGATTTCATTTGGGTTGAGTCTTTTTTTCTTTTTGGGTTCCTATTTTCCTCATTAAGCCGAGTATACAGCATGATCTACTAAGAAGTAAGAACCTAATCATACTGCGTTAGTCTGTCTTCTATGTAAGGTGATGATCGGTTTCCGGTCTTGTGAATACCTGCTGACTTGGGCCAATTTTTATATGATGCTTAGTCTCAGGCTTTCTTCTTCATTGTTTAGGCCCAGGGCCATTTTTGCGGGTCGGGATTCTGTGGATCATTGGGAGTAAAGAAAAACTATGAGTGGGTCACTTTGCCAAAACTCTCCAGTTTGTAGGTCTCATGCAAATTTTGCTCTATGTGGGCTTTGGAGTGAATGGTCGGTGCTAGGATTTGTATTGGCAGCTGCAAAATGGATGTCTTTGCTCTTTATTCCTTAGAAATATAATCTGTCCGATAGATGAGTTCAGGAGAAAAAAACTGCTACGCGAATATGATATCTGGCAGAGGAGGATCTAGAAATTCAGGAGTGAATCTAAACAACTAAATATATTAGTCTTATGGAGTGAGACCAAAATTAGGGGAATGAGGCTTGCAGATACACCTTTGGTTAAATTCTGATCCATGGTTTTGATGATCTTTTCTTCTTCAAGTTTAGATCTTGATTTCATTTTCTTTTTATTGTTTCATTCATTCTTACATTTCACACTGGTATTAATTTAAATAAATTAAGTAGCATCCTGTGTACTTCGTGTTGTTAGCTTTTATGAGATGTCCTTGTTTCCATCCCAGACGAAGGCCTGGCAGGGATGTCGGAGAAAGCTCTTAGTGATAACAATACAACTCTGGAAACTGAAAGGAAGGAGGAGAGCTCCAGTAAGGCATGTTTAAATATGGCTTCTGCTGACAATGTGGATGAAAATAATAAAGATCTGCAAAAGGAAAAAAATTGTGCTTCTGTAGTGCCTCCACCTGTCAATGGTAATCATTCAGGCGATTCTCAAATAGAAATAGGAAATGCAGAAGTAGAATACATTGATTCTGAGAACTTGAGGGATTTAGAAGATATTGATAGTTGTCTCAAGGTAATATTATTTTTATTGCTGGCAGGCTTTTGAAGTTGTTTATGGTTCCTAATATTTCTTCAATTTTTTACTGTTAATTATTATATTTTTATAGGAAATTCATTTCTTGAATTATTTGAGATCAGCTACTGGATTTTATTACAGACTCTGTTGACTGGATTGGACTCCAAGGAGTGGGTCCTGGTATGCAATGCCCTCAATAATGTTCGGCGGATTTCAATATTTCACAAGGAAGCACTGCTTGATATTCTGTAAGTAACGAACATGCAGATATTTTGCTTTTTTTGAAAATATGATAATCTAAAACATTCTTTTACTGATCAGTTTGCTGTTGTTTTTGTTTGGGGATTAATGAATTCATCAATATGCTTTCTGGTGAGCAGAGGGGATGTGATCACATTTCTTGTAAAGTCCTTGAAAAGCCCTAGAAGTGCTCTTTGCAAAACTGCCATTATGACATCTGCGGACATTTTCAGTGCATATAATGATCTTATAATAGATTTTCTGGACCCCCTGGTAACTCAGTGTTCCTTCTTGGTTAATCTGGCTACTTTACTAAGTAATTTTCCCTTGTTGTACTTGATTATCATGAACATGCTCTTGCATGTGAACGATTTTTCCATTGATGCAGCTGGTACAGCTTCTTCTCAAGTCTTCACAGGACAAGCGCTTTGTATGTGAGGCAGCTGAGAGAGCCTTAATAGCTATGACTACCTGGATTTCCCCTACATCTTTGTTACCAAAATTGCAACCTCATCTTAAGAATAGGAATCCTCGAATTCGTGCAAAGGCATCAATGTGCTTTTCTCGAAGTGTCCCTCGATTGGTAAGAGAGATTTGAGAATGCGTCTTATCCCTGATGCTCCTTTCCAAGAAATTTGTACGACTAATCCTATTAAGTTTGTTCCATTTGTTTTATTGGTTTTAGCTAGTTTGATACATCATTTTTTTTAGCATATGCTATGCATCTTAAAGTTAGAATGATGTCTGAATTCTATAAAGGTTTTAGGTGATTACAAGAAGTTAAACCTCCCCACAGCGTCCACCCCCATAAAAAAAGACGCCAAAAAAAAAAAAAATCTTTAGAAAGAGGAAAAATAGATTAGTGACACAAGGAAAAAGGCATTTATCATCCATGAGGTTACGATAAAACGTTTCCTTTTCAGACATCTGAATGAATTTTGAATGGCCAAGTTTCTATCTCAAATTCGCCTTGCCAACTTTCTTTACTGTTGATTTATTGAAGAGTTTGTTCCTTGAAATATAGGCATTCATGGTCACAAGCCCATATTTAAACTGCTATTTTGTTTAAAGGGTATAACTATTACCTCTCTTGGTTGATGTTTGGCTGCTATAGCTTGCTCAGTTTTGTATGCATACACATACACACACTCTCGCACGTGTTTTATGCACATGGGCTGGGATTTATTAACAGTAGTGCATGATTCAGTACATCTACACCATCTTCTAATTGCTTGCATTTCAATAGTTTAAGTCACTTTTTATAATGAGTTTCTAGAAATAAGAGTCCCAAGTTTTACACTGTTGTTAAGGACATAAGGGATCCTAACTACATGTATCACATACTCTCTGAATCATTTTGTTTTTTGCCATTCTTTGGTCAATTCCTGATCCGAGAATCATTATTAGATCTTTATGCTGGCAACTTAATGCGATAAATTGCATCTGACATTTTAAACCTGAATGTGAAAAGCGTTTCTTCGGTTGATATGTGAAGGAAGAGCAATGCATTTGTTTCATTTATTATTGGCACTGGATGTTGAGCATTAACATTTTCTGTCCTGTGCTGTATTTATTTACAGGGTGCTGAGGGCATAAAGGCTTACGGAATTGACAAATTGATCCAAGTAGCTGCATCCCAGCTGAGTGACCAGCTCCCTGAATCCAGGGAGGCAGCCCGGACTCTGCTGCTTGAGCTTCAAAATGTATATGAGAAATTTCATGATCCCATGCCTGCTTCTGTTTCTGAGCGTCCAGAGCTGGGTTCGTGGGAGAACTTCTGTCAATCAAAACTCTCACCGCTGAGTGCTCAAGCCGTACTTCGTGTCACCAGTATTGCTCGGGAGGGACTTGTTTCATGACACATGCCGTGCATCAACTTCTTTAATATCCGGTCTGCTCGTCATATTTTTTCCCCTGTATATACACTGAAAATTGAGATGGTTCGAATTGCTGTTGAAGCACGGATTGAGCAGGAAATTCATGATTCGATTCCTATGCCACCTTTCTTGTCAGCTCTGCAAACTACGTTGTTTCCTCTCTCTTCTTCATTCCCTATATTTGGCAGAACACGCGTGGTTGATTTGCTTTTAGCATTTGCTTCAGGAAGCTTTTTCACGGGTTCTCTTATTGAAGTGATAATGGATCAGCGAATTTATTAATCGATGATTGAAAATTATTCGGATCAGTATCTACATATGCCTGTAAAATATTTCCTCTAGCATTCACACTATTTGCATGAATTCTCTTAACCTGGGCACGTTTTGTTCTTTTTTTTTTAAATATTTTTTCCATCTATTTATTGGGTTAATATTTTTTTTTATCTTTTAATATTTCTCCACATATTTCAATAGGATTTAAATGCTAGAAGGTAAGATATGACTTATGAAACAAAAAAATAACTTATTTTGCTTGAACATTGTACAAATAAATGTATAAGATGTATTTTCTCAAATTATTCTATTCAAGATTCATAATCATGAATAATCAATAATGGGACTCATCTCAAATTTCATGTATCAAAGGATGGACGACTTAAAAATATAGAAAAATAACGGGTAGCTGGGTTATCAAGAGCAATTATGAGAAAAGCAACATTGCCTAGCTAAATTTTCACGTATATCTTGTCGGTGATGGATTCTTCCTGCTAGAACATGGGCGAGTGAAAATGAAAACATTTGCGTCCGAAGTAACGGTGGGTGCCGTTTATTCTTTCTAACTTAAACTGATAAACATGTTAACAAGGTTTTTATTTGGAATACAAATATTCTATAATCTAAAATAATTTGTGGAATTATTTTTCCATTGGTCAAAAGATGACCAGGGCTAATCCAGTACACACACGACAGTCGGTATTTAGAGAATAGAATAAGCCTTGCGGAAGACGTCGAAGTCATTTCTCAAATCCGAGATCTTATAAGCCTTGTAGAAGACGAGGAAGCAAGGTACGTAAGATCGGACCGGTCATTGAACCGGTTATGGCATTGGGTCACGGGTTAGTGGTTCAATTAGGGTTGAACCGGGGGTTGAACCGGTGGCAAATCGGTCATGATTAAAATAATACAATTTAAATAAAAAGACATTAATTATAAAAATATTCAACTAAATTCAACCACTCAAAAGTCTAACAGTAATAAAATACAATATTTTAAATATCTATCATTACACTTACAACTCTTCAATCTCAAAAGTTTAGAGAAGAGATGGAAATAGAATTGGAGAAGAGACGGAGATTGAGCTAGAAAAAAGACGAAGAGTCAGAAACTAAGCTGGAGAAGAGATGAAGATAGTAAAGACAGAGATAGAGTTGGAGAAGAGATGGAGATAGAGCTGGAGCCTGAAGAAGAGACGGAGATTAAGCTAGAGAAGAGACACTGATTAGGTTAGGGTGAGAGAGGAGAGACACAGATGAAAGGCCGAAATAAATGTTGTTTGAAAATCTGAATTGGACTTAGCGTGCTCTATCTCTAATTTTTTATTTTTTGACTTTAGTTTTACTTTTTTTTTGTTATCTTATTTCTAAATTCAACACTCTTAAAAATAAAAAGTGAAAAAAAAAATTTTAAAAAAATAACCCGGTTAACCCAGTCAACCCACCGGGTTAACCGGGTTATACCGGGTTGACTGAGTTACACCGATTTATTTCGTTACCGGTTTAGAAGTAAACCCAGACCGGACAAGGGACCGGGTCACCGGTTTTTGAGTTGACCCGGCCGGTCCGGTCCGGGTTTCAATACCATGCGAGGAAGTCATTTATACTGGACGTAACTAAATCTGCTGTGCTTTATTAGCAAAGAACAGGTCTCTTGATATGCCTGGCTTACGGATTGTAACCCAGGTTCCCGCTTGCTGTTTTGATATGATCATTAGGGAACACAGCTTATGCTCAAGTGACTAATTAGCTGTAATTAGCAAGCTTCGGCTTGCCCTTGTAAATCCCAAAAAACAAAAGAGCGAGAATAGAATAAACACCAACGATTCTGATCGTTCAAAAAAGCTGACAATTAGACTTCGTTTACGCGACTTGATCCTTCTAATGGGTCAGTTTTTACTGCTTGTAAATTTGCAATCGAACGTGTGGGTTTTTCTAAGATGTCATTCACCACCCCACTTCAAACACGTAGTTTGATACAAAAGGAAACCTCACTAATATTGATCCACGCAATCAAATTGAAAATTCTAAAATTATATGAGCATCTTCGCTGGGACGGTGACCCATTTCATCTTGTGCGCAACAACAAATTCAAATTTTGCAAGACGATTACAGAATTAGAAAGGGGAAAAAAAAATAGATCCATCCACCTAGTATAAAGTTATCTGTATAAAAAGTTCGTCCATATCCAGACGAGACAAACAGGCACAAATTTAAGACACCAGAACACTATGATAATCTGTTGCCTTACAGTCAACGAAGACATGAACACTAGACAACCGAAGAATGATGAGGAGAGATGGAAATTAACTTTTCTCCGAGTTGTTTTCCAATTCTTTCTTGAGCTGCAGCGAAAAGTCGTCATTAACATCGTCATCATCCCAATCATCTTCCCATTGCTGGTTTGTCTCTTTTCCCTCTTCTTTGTCATCCCATTCTATCATTTTTAATTTAAAGTATGTGAACATATGGGAAATAACATTCTAAATCCTCAATAAAAATAAACCGCAATAATACTATAATCATACGAATCAAGTCAGATCTCTAACATGAGCCCCCCCCCAAACAAAAAAAAAAAATCAGATCCGTAACATAAACTCTCTAATACCAGTCCTTTCCATCCAGGACAACATTTTCACTTCAGTCAAATTGGAGGATTCCAAATGTAATTCTTTATTATTATTTTTGTAAATACGCCCACCTAACTCGTCTCATCTCTCTGTTTATGCATTGCTACCATAATGTAGGCTTCAGAAGATTGTACAAGCCTTCTAAGCAGAATTCCTTGCTTCCAACAATTGATGATGTATGAATACTACTGGTTGGCCCAAAAAAACGGGTGCTAGTGCAAAGAATTAAATATATAAGCCATCAAAGTTAGTATGTCCTTGATGCTAGTTTTAGCCTATAGAAGTATGTCAAGTTCATGGTGTGTAAAGCTAAAGCGTGAACCAACTATGAAGTTCCCAACTTCCAATATTAAAGGAAGCAAAAAATTCCAGCTTATACATCAGAGCCCTCTCATGTTAGTAGATATCAGCTTCAAATTTGCATAAGACAGGGAAGGACACTCTTTGAGGACGTCTACTTCCAATTCCTACCTTAGATGCCCCCTCATATTCAAAACAACTCACCCTCCCCCCCTCACTCATATTCAAAATAACTATCCCTCCCAAACTTCTAAAAAAAATTAAAACAAAAACCCTGGTACTGGTAAGAGTCCCACTCATCGAATATCTTTCATTCTTTCCATGTTTGAAAAATGATCTAGCATTCTACCTAGTGGCAGAAAAACCATGCAATATACATCCTAGAATATCAACTAGTAAAACCCATCTGATAGCTGCTACTTTCCTTATGGGTAATGAATGCTATCATTATTAACTTTCTATCATCAGTTGTACGCCATAAGCAGGCACCCTATAACGAAGCAGTAGCCCACAATGAATCAACATCTTCGTGGATAATAGAAGTAAAAGTACCTTCATTGATCTCAAATTCTTCAAATTCATCATCATCTTCGAACAAATCAAGCTTAGGATCTTCAACCGCTACCTTGGAATCCTTCTCCATAGTCGAATTTGGCAACCAAGTAATTAATACGCAGAATCTACAAAAAAGCAAAAACAGGCTTTCAACTTAACGAAAATAGGAATCAAACAGAAAAAGAAGACGACAAAATTGTTGCATCGCAGAGATGCACTCATGATAAGGCTCTAGGACTTCATAAACCCGAAGCATAGAAAGTTGAACAGAAATCGCAAACCTACAAACATGACTAACCCTCCTTTAGAAAGAACCCTAATCTCCCAACAAGGGGCCGTGCGCAAGAGAAAAGGAGGAGAGGCGTCAATGACACTCTAGGCTTCCCGCTTGCGAAAGATTTCCCCTTTACAGTTCACTAGTGTCGGTTATTTTCTTTAAAAAAAAAAACTAATAATGTTGTTGGGCCCTTTATGCACAAGATTAGCCCAATCAAAGGAAATGTTTAGACCCCAAAAGGGCCAACCCAGCCTGTAGTAATTGAACCCACCAAAAGTTATGGGTTGATCAGAATTACCCATTTGAACCAATAAAATTTAGTTCAATTAATAAGAATTTGAGTCATAATATATAAGATTATATAATTAAATCTCATTTTTAATGTGAAGATCTTATTGATAAATAATCTATAAATATCTCCATAAGTGCTATGAACTTAGATGCATGTTCTGGCCTCATGAATCCTGGGACCGAACTTACTCAAACTTTCCTCCATTAAAAAAAAAAAAAAAGAACTATTTGAATCTACTTAGTTAAACCCAGCTCGCGAGTTAAAGGGCCAAAAAAAAAAATTTCTACCTAGTTAAGTTTACAACCCATATGTATATGTAGCAAGAAAACTATGCTTATGTCTTGTGGCCATCGGAAAACTATGCTTACGAATAATACATTTAATAGTGACAATCTTTGAGGTGGGTTAGTAAATCAATCAATTCATTATAAAACAATCGAATGGATTTTAACAGTGTATTTGTCCAAAAATCAAGAACAACTGTATTTAAAATTTTATGTAGCTTGATCCATTTGAAATGTCTTACGGGTTAGTACGACTTTATCTATGTACTATCCATATTTTGTCTGCAAACTCATCGCCCGGCCATTCCCAAGGTGGCCGTTCAAAGCATATCCTACTTTCCTCAAGCATGAGGTCAAACAATTAAAAAAAGAAATAAAAAAAAAACTTGAGTGCATACTACATAGTATAATGCAGCATTGTTCAGAACATCCGAGAGCATTTGCGAGTGAGATTATCAATGTAATATTTTATTTGTCACAAGTTTTGTGCTGCATGTTAAATTACTAACTAGTTAAGCACTGTCGTATGCACTTATTTAACCTCTTTTTTTTTTTGTTGTTAGAGTAGTTACATTGAGTTTGGTAGCCTACGAGCAATTAGTTCAATAGTTATATAAGTCCAAGCAATTCAACCATCCATTATTTGTAAATTTAGACTGATCTGCTCAAGTTGACTCGTAAATCAGCAAATTGACCACCCAATCAATTCGGTTGATTGAGAAAACCGATCACATATGACCCAGCTTTAACCTAGTCGAATTGAATCGGTGAGTTAATAGTTTATCTCAAATCATATTTTATTATTTTTTTCTTTTCTTCTTTTAAATATTGAACCCTACATCAAATATAAATTTCTTAACTAATAATTTTAATGTTATTGTGTTTTATTATTGTTAGAAACTTATAATTATTATTTCTATAAGAGAAGCATGAGATTTTATGGATAAATTTTTCATTTACTCAAGAATTAAAGACTTTTATTAAAATATTAATGTCTTTCGTATGCATATTTTTATATATTTAATCAAATTATATTATTTTAATCGTGATCTGTCTGATCCCAAGTTGATCCTTTGTTGGATCACCATTATCAACCTTTAAACCACTACATTAACTAGTTTAATGATAGATTTAGTTTTCAATATCTTGCAGTCATCTCTATTCCCTTGATTGTTCGGATATAAAAATCAAAGCTTTCACAAATGTCTTTGACAAGGAGGGACTGCTTTTCTGTGTCCAGTCATCATCTCTAAACAATACATAAGAGGGGTTTGCATTGGCCAGCAACAAGACCTATTTTACAAAAAGAAGGAAACAAGATGTGGCGATGCATTGCCTGTCCTTTTTCGTTCCCTTCCGGACGATGCTCCCTAGTCTCTGAAATTCTTATCAAATATCAACCTTCAGTACACACGCGCACGCACAAAAAGGAAAAAGGTTGGAACATATTCCCGTTATGTGCTTTTCCAAATGCCTGTAGAGTATATAAACAAGTCCAAGTTCTCATAATAAGAGAGAATGTCCCACTCTCCCTTTTTTCCGTTCTTCTGACTTCTCTTCACTCACTCTGCATACATACACAAAGTAGTCAGTACATGCAAACAAAGAGAAAGGAAGGAACGTTCAACCTGTTCCTTCTATGCTGAGCAAATGCCCTTGTCCTCGTTTCATGCACTGGTCCATCTCTATTAAACATTCTAGTCACTTATTGAGGGATAGCGAGTGGATGTTCCAACCTGTCTGTCGATGATATTGGGAATAGATTAAGGAAACGAATTTTCAAGTTTGGGTGGAAACTGTCTACTTCAGATCTATCACTAACATCTCTTATAAGCAGCAGGACTGAAAATGACTTGGATGTCCTTGTCCTTGAGATATGCCTTGGGGGAACTAACTTAAATGGAGGTAACTAGTATTTTAGCATTGTAGATTTTACTAATATCAGCTTTGAATTGTTTTGTATGTATTATTATGAGTTACTCTAGATCATCTGTGATCAATCTTCTTTTCCCAAGCAGAAAACTAGGCATCAGAAAGCAGTCAGAGGATGAGCAGCAAGAGAGGTGCTTAATTGTCTTGTATCAGAGTTTCAAATATGTAGATTACTGTGTGCTCTCTCATTTCCTTACCATCAACACATTCTTGTGATTTCAGATACATGGCTTCTTACTGGAGTTATTGTAGCAATTGCATTGATAATGATTATTATTGCATCCATCTTGATTCGTAAACTTCTCAAATCAACCCACCCTAAGAATAAAGGTATGACCTAAACTATACCACGCCTAGATTGATAGTATTATAGCATAGGTGAAGCTTATTATCCTTATGTGGTTTACCTTGTAATCCATAGCAGCATTGGGGGAAGTTCTGTTGAAGAAAAATGCTTGTCCAAGAGTTCCTCTCAAAGAAGTGCACTCTGCCACAAACCATCTGAATGAAATGAACGTCATTGGTGAAGGAACATTTGGTACTAATTTCTTTTTCCCCTTCTTTCTTGAAAAATGATGATTGTATATATATATTTTTTAGTTTTTCTTGTATATAGCGGTGAGGTTTTGGCTCAATGAATTAAAAAAATAGGTCTGGAAAAGATTACCTAAATTGCTGTGAAATTGATAAATAGGTACAATATATAACATATAATTTCTTAACATTACTTGAACTACCTGTCTGTATTTTCATTCTTGTCAATGCCGATAGGTTAAGATAATGTTGTAAGATAAGACTTCTAAACTTCAAATCTTGGTCATTTCTCTTCTACAGTTGGAACATATCTTGATATTTAATTTTTACTTGTCAAAGTCTAATCTAATCTCTGCTTAAAAAACCATCTGGTTTCTGATTTTTGATATTAGGGAAGGTTTATGGAGGCGCGATGACAAATAATCAACCTGTTGCAATAAAGCACATCATCAATGATGATGAAAGCATGGAGACTTTTGTCAGAGAAATTACAAACTTATCACACGTTAGACATCCAAATCTCGTCGCTTTGTTGGGTTGCTGTGTTGAGGGAGATGAATGTTTCCTTGTCTATGAACTGTGCCCTAACGGGAGTCTTTCAGAGTGGCTGTTTGGTAATATTAATTTTTCACCTTATCTAGCATGAATTCTTAAATCAATAATCCAATTCAACTTTGAACTGTTAAAGACTTGACAAATTGTGCTCATCAGGCACGAACAAGGTTCTGTCTTGGATACAGAGGCTTAATATTGCAATTGATACTGCAAAAGGCCTTTGGTTCCTTCATACATATCCACAAGGCTGCATCGTTCACCGTGATGTCAAGGTCATTCCCTTAAATCTAAACACCATCTCGTAAATTTTTACTCCTACTCTATTACCATTAGAGATGACTAAAACTTGTTTCTACTTTTTTCTAGCTATAACTCGTGAGGATTCCACAAACCTATGACTGAAACGTCCAATAACTGTTGAATGATGGTAAGGTTTTGACAGAACGTTTGTCTGATGCAGCCAACAAACATTCTCCTGGGGCCGAAGTTTGAAGCAAAGCTATCAGATTTTGGACTCTCTAAAGTTTTAGAGGTGGGTGAAACATATGTTAGCTCAGAAGTGAGAGGAACTTTTGGGTATGTTGATCCTGAGTACCAAAGTAACCGCCACGTAAATTCATCTGGCGATGTCTACAGCTTCGGCGTGGTACTTCTGCAGATCCTCTCTGGGAAGAAGGCTATAAATTTGAAACTCAAGAAACCCATGACTCTGGATAAAATGGTGAGAACCTACATGTCTTTGATTTTCAATTCGATCTCATGCATCACTTATTTATTTCGATTGATAAAACTCTAGCCTTTCTCAGGCAAAAGCTCTCACAAGGGGTGGCAGCATGACAGAATTTGTTGATCCTAAACTTCAAGGAAAGTACTCAGAAGAAGCATTTGATTTTACCCTTCATCTTGCTCTATCATGCACAGCCCTTAACCAACAACGTCCGTCCATGGAGCAGGTTGTCACAAGATTGGAAGAGGCCCTACTAATTTCAATGGAGAAAGTCTCTGCAACAGACATTTCAGTGGACAATCCTTCAATTCTATGATGCAGTAATTATTACGATCCCTTGTATAACAAGAGATAATTTTTTTTTTTTAATCTTGAAAAAGCATTCAGTTTTATAAGTATTCATGAATGGATTGAAGTTTTTCTTTGATTATCATTCAGAAAGCTTGCCAGACATGCTTTAAAATGACCCTCAGATAAAAGAAGAAAGTATAATAAGGTGAATGGAGAAAACTTTCTTAAACCACTTCGAATGAGATACTATAGTACCATTTTCTTCATTGTTCATTCATAATCTCACTCGTAGATCAGGTTCCTCTGCTGACAGGACATTATGAACATAGACGCTAAGTTATTGGAAAACTACAACCAAGCTGGATTTTTCAAAGAAGTAACAGCAGCCTTGATTTGCAGGTAGTTGCTAAGGCTATAGATTCCCCTTACTCTGCCTTGACCACTCATCTTATACCCACCAAAAGGTATTGCTGCATCAAATACATCGTAGCAGTTTATCCATACTGTTCCAACTCGCAATGCGCGCATCAAAGTGTTGGCAGTGTCCAAATTCTGAGTAAAAACTCCAGCGGCCAGCCCATAGGATGTTGCATTTGCTCTTCTTATCACCTCCTCAAGATCCCTATAATTTATTTCAAAAAACTAAATGAAGGAGGTCCGAGAGTAGAAAGTTACTGAAGAATATAAAATTATGATTTCGTAAGGATTAGTGGCCGATGATTTAGAGCTTACTTGAATTTCAATATAGTCTGCACTGGTCCGAAAATCTCATCTTTTGCTATCAACATGTTATCCTGTCAATATCATTTTAGTTATGTACTTCAGTTTTGAGATTTATCTTTCTACTTGAACATAAATAGAACTACATATTGGAATATCAGGTACCTGGACATCTGAGAAAACAGTAGGTTGGATATAGTAACCTTTTGAGCCAATTCTTTGACCGCCAGATTCAAGAGTAGCTCCACTGTCAATGCCTGATTTTATGTACTTGAGGATCTTCTCGAATTGTGTTGAATCAATCTAGAACATAAAAGCAATAAATGGCATCACCGTCTTAAGAGTCATTAATTGGCATTTGAAGTAATACAATGCCTGCAGTGACCTATACATCAGTCTAAAGAAGGACTTAATTGTGATTGAGGGAAGAAAATAAGAGATACCTGTGGACCTTGCTCAACCCCACTTTTAAAGGGATCTCCAACAATACGTTTGAGGGCACGGGCTTTTGCTTTTTCTACAAACTCATCATAAATGCTTTCGTGTACAAATGTACGAGAACCGGCACAACAACATTGACCCTGTGGACACAAATGAAAGAACCACTTGAATCATATTGCCACACTTGGTGAAACACTACTTGAGAATGTTTGATTTTGTACACTGAATACTATGAAATAGGATCTTCAAACCTGATTGAAGAATAAAGCAGCATGTGCACTCTCAACAGCCTCATCAACATTAGCATCCTTGCACACAATGAAGGGAGACTTTCCACCCAGCTCCAGGGTCACTGGCTTCAGATTACTTTGTGCAGACAGTCCCAATACAATCTTCCCGGTGCCACTGGATCCTGTGAAAGCAAGCTGCCAAAATTTAAGCAATTTTTAGTTGCTTAATTAAGTAACAAGTAGACGAAACATGGACATAAATGAGGCACTTTGTGCTAGTGTGTATAAGCATTGACTGTATATCAACAGTCTCAAAGCGCAGCTAAGTCTATGAAAAAGCAATCGGAAACATAGATCAGAGGACTTGAAAAGGAGTTATTCATGAAAATGAAAACATGTTTTGGCATGCCCTAAATTTCGTCCATTACTATTAAAAAAAAAATCCGTTTCTATCAGCTAAAATGCATAAATTTCTTTCCAAATACGGGAACAAAATTTAAATTATTTGAAGTACCTTGTCAACACCCATGTGACTACATAGAGCTGCACCAGCAGTGGGCCCATAGCCAGAGATAATATTTAGAACACCAGGAGGAAGGCCAGCCTGTAGCCTCAAATACATCATTGAGGGATAATCACAAATATGAAGAAACTAAATCGATTTGTTCCTTTTCTTTTTTTTTTTGCCATTGAACTTTGATATCATAAGCATTGTCACCAAACAAATCTGTGTAGATATCATTATATGGTATTTAGGCACAAGCAAGTCCAAGTACAATGAAAATACTGAAGATCTGATAGCACATTTCTTTGCACAAAGAAAGAACTTTTATTCCAGTTAAGTTCATTTAGACATAAATTACCTCATGAAATAGCTCTGAGACATAAAGGGCAGAGAGAGTTACCTCATGAAATAGCTTTGAGACAAAAAGGGCAGAGAGAGGTGTCTGCTCTGCAGTTTTGAGAACAACTGTATTACCACAAGCTAAAGCAGGCCCAACCTTCCATGAATATATAAGAAGAGGGAAATTCCAAGGAATAATTTGGCCTGCCACCCCAATCGGCTCATGCAAGGTTTGGACATGGTGGGGTCCATCAGATGGGACTGTGAGACCGTGAATTTTATCTGCCCAACCTGGAGAAAACACAAAGCATCCCAAAGAATGTCAACCTATCATGCAACACTATACAATGGCATGAAGCAGGACCGCAAAGATCATCCTACCAGCATAATATCGAAATATACGTGTCACCATAGGTACTTCAACATTTGCAGCCTGTTCATAAGGCTTTCCGCTATTCCATGTTTCAAGTGTTGCTACTTCGTCATTGTGCTTTTCCAGCAAGTCAGCAAAACGCAGAATTATGCATGATCTTTCCTGGGTAAGACCATAATTTTGGCTCAAATTCTTGTCTATGAATGAACTTGAACTCGTGAAGCATTAGAACGTTGTCTACACATGTATCCTTTGAAATTTATGGAAGACAAATGGGGCAAAAAAATAGATTAAAAAGTATCATACATAAGCAGTCATCCTTGGCCATGGTCCCTCATCAAATGCCCTCCTGGCAGCAGAGACAGCACGATCCACATCTTCACTGTCACCTTCAGCAACATTTGCAATCGTATCTCCTGTCCTAGGATCGAAGGTTGGGAAAGTTTTTCCTAAAAGTGGATATGTTTATTTTTCAGCTTTATTGTATATTACAATCTCTTTAACTTGTAAGTAATTATGCTTATGAAGGCAAGAAATTAACCGGAAGCAGCATCAACGAATTGTCCATCAATGAGAAGCTGAGTGTGATCTACTTGAACAGGTGGGGTAATAGGCTCCTCGGCAGCAGCTGATTCGTAAGTCCTGCTGATACCTCTGGCCCAACAACGATGTAAACCTGAAGATATAATCATCCAATCGTTCAGATAATGAAATGATACATGCCAAAAGATATACAACACTTCATTTTATTGTTTTCCCCATTTCTTTCAGTTTCATCTTCATGATAATCTCTCGCACAGAACCAAGAAACTTAATAACCTAACCCCGCATCCATAAAGGACATGAGGAAGAAAGTGAGGTAGTAATATTACCCAAACAACGTCTGGAAGCAGAGGCAGAACAAGAGGAAGCGATAGAACGCAGAATGCGAGCAGCCATGACCTGCTTCAACCTATGGGACCTTAGATAATAATATCTGGCTTGGCTATGTCCCTACTTTCTTCGCTCCTTCACTATCTGAAAGTCTTGAAGACATTTACATAAAACGCTCCATCTTGTGAATTCTCAATTCTCACCAATCAACACCACCACCTATCAGTGTTGAAGCATTATATCTTTCAAGCAGTGCATCTTAAGCACAGTGCCAGCGCGGAAAGGCCGACGTCCAAATGATGCTAGGTCCTTATCATTATGACGGGACTCATGCATCAACTCATCTTGTAGCATCACAATACCATGTCACCTTGTAGCTCGTTGCGACACTTGTGACCCACCGAAAGTGTAGAAAGAGTCGTGTGATTGTCCGAATTCAATAATGGCCGCCACAACAGGGAAATAGAGGGTGCTCATTCATTTGTTCCACACGACGAGCACATTGGGGTGAAATCAAGGAAGGTAACTCTTTGCCAAATTTAACAAATAATTCAAATGAATTTTGTCATATATAAACTAAAAATCAAGTACACAATTATATGGTCTAAATTCAGTGTGGAAATTTTAAATTTTAAATTTATCCAGGCAAGAAATAAAATGGAATCTAGATTGTTGAAAATTAATTGGAAAGTGATTATCTTGAATCGATGCTTACGAAGAAAATGACAAATCCCAGTTGGCCCTCTTGCTTGCTGAGTCTGATTGATTTGAATGCTCACTTACCAGTCCTATGGATCACGTGAAAACGACTCTCAGCTATAGCTACTTTCAGAGTTGCTCTTCAATTTGCAGGTCCCCTTTTTTCCCCTTTATATATTCTTGATAATATAAACAAATGCAATCCAGTGCAGAGAAAGTTGCAAACTACATTAGCGTAAAGAAACAAAGCGAGCAAAAACAGTTACATCCAGCAATGTTGTTTCCCCATCCCATCCACTGTTGTTGTTGAAGTATACTGACATTGGCCTAAAGGTGCAAGTCCTTTTTTAAAGTGGGAGGGATTGTCGCGTCTTTATATGTATATATATAATTCAAATGTCCTCCTCATGCTCGAAGTCATAAGATTGTGAAGTGCGGCTGGAAGTATCTCAAAATTTTGACGAAGGTCTTTCTAAATACTTTATATTACTTTATATATTAAAAGTATTTACTTATTTTACTTTTATACAATATATTGATATTGATAATTATATATTATTTACTAGATAAACTTTATAAGATAAACTCAATCTAATTCATACAAATTTATTCATAACATAGCCTTTGAATAATAAGATTTTTGTACATGATTTATTATTCATAGAACATCAATAATGCAATTCGCATTAAATCGTGTGCGTCTCTTTATTAATTCATCACTAGTTTTTATTTCTTTCCCCCATTTTTTGTATGATTTCAATTTGAATTTTAATTATCGAAAAAATTGTTTAGATAAAGTTTCTGAAATTAGGATTAAATCAGTCACTTGGAAATGGACATTTAAGTTGGCAAAGATACAAACGGCAAGCCAAAGCTTGAGGGAAAAGACTAAAAGAAAAGCAAGCAAAAGCCATCACGGCCTCTCAAGTGCATATTGGTAATTTGGTGTGCACGTTTTGGAGGAATACTGTCCAATATCATTCCTTCTCGCAATCCTATCAGCGCATCGAATGGCTTCCCTGTAAATAGAGTCAAGCCGGGTCGTTTGCATTGCGTCTTTACAGAATTACAGATCAAGCTCATAGCCTTGAGAGTCGTTGAGAAACCATTTTTCTTTTGACCACCAATCCTAAATATATGAATTAGATAACTAATTCATACGGAGTCGATTAGAGAAATCAGTTTAGGTATTTGCAAAAAAATGTATTAGTTTTTTAAATTATTCATCATGTTAATCATTCATGTTAGAAATTACTCTTTTTGTTTTGGACAAAATTACTCTTATTGGCTGCATATAAAAATATGGGCAGCTTGATTAAAATAATAATAATAATAATAAATGTCCCGCAGAGTAGAGAAATGCGAAGACCGCGTTTGGATTGGGCTTTAACACTTAAGGGGAAATTCTTGCATTCCACAAATTTGGGCTGAACCTGTCACGCCCACACTGATTAAATTTGGGCTGAACCTGTCACGCCCACACTGATGTGCCATCTCCTCTTTTTCTATGCTATCAGCATGTTAGTCAGTGCGCAATTTAAAATAAAAAAAAAAAAGGTGCATTAGTAAAATAACAGAACAGTTGTTACTCTCTGCTAGCTGGTTTGGGAAGCTGTTGGGGGAAGATTAGTTAGCCAAGAATATTAACGAACTAATTAACATGTATTAATTAAATTGTATAAAAGGGATTCAGAATTAAGACAATTGATGCAAGTCCTGATCGTCTAGCATCTCTTTCTTCGCCCTTCTTCCTCCTATCTATCACAGTATCTTAATTCTTATCCTCACAGGAAAGAAGCTCGGGTATTTATGCAGTTATCAGATCCTTTGTATTCCGTTTCATTTTCTTCTTCTCCTATATTTTCCCTTTCAATTCCAAGAAACGTCAGTATTGCTGGCATAAAACAATATTGCATGCATTAAGTCGCTATTAGCTTTTTATATATTGCAAATTTAACCCCAAAAAGAAAAAAAACAGAGCTATAACTTATAACAGTCCCATACAAATGCTGACTCTAGACAGATTGAGACACCTCCGTCGCAGAACTCCATTTTCTGCATTCATTGAAGTAAACCACAAAGGCCACCCACTTGAATCCATTTGCCACACAAACCAAGCTAATATACACTATCGTGATCCAAACCCTGCTTTTTCTGCTACTCCACCCCATGAAAAAATATCCTAGTCTCAAGCAAAGCCTCCATGCAACACAAACAAGCATCAATAGGCTTCCACTTAGCCTATCACCTCTACTGATATATGCAGAGACCAACAAGGCCTCGTTCCCGTCTTTGTCTTCCAATATCGAAATCAAAGTGCCCATGTTCCATATGGCACTCCACTTCACATACTGTACCAACAAAGCCACAAACATGGCTACAAATAACATCGTGAACAGAGGATAATAGTAAGTGATATATGCTTGTAACGCAATGGAGAGCAGCCCCATCGATAACAGAAAAGTCAACAAGACAACACAAATGGACGTGACGAGAGGGCCTCTAATTCTTGTGTCCATAACGTGTTTGATGAACATTTGCTTTAGAGTCAGGACCTTATCCCCTGCATATATATATGATGCGGAATTCACTGTGGCTATGGTGTTGAAAAGATCCAAGAAATGGAGGATTCCCATATGCGATATCACCAACAGGACGAAGTTATGAGAAACCTTCGCAACTAACATATCCACGGCTTTCATGCGATCCCAACCGAAGCAGAACAAGCAATCCAGGCCCAGATCCTTCCGTAAAACCTTAGCCGCTTCAGTTATGGTTTGAAGATATAAACTTTCGTAGATGAACAAGGAGCAGAACATAGGAAGAGAAGTAATGAAGCTGAAGATGATGAAAATAGGATTCTTACAAGGGATCTTGATAGTTTCTTTGAGGATGCCAGATAATCCAAGCTTCCCTTCCAACACTGATATTCTTGGAGTGCTCTCCATGTTCTTGCTGCAAATCCTGCCGGTCTGCACCCCTTCTTTCTCACCCTCTCTTGACGAAGACCTGCTTCAACTTCAAGGATGATTGGTCTTCTGTTCAACGGATTAGGAAGTTGACTTGAGGCTATTCACTGCTTCCAGGACTGCGATAGCGTTAATAGGAAATAATCTAAGCCATTGGATTGTTTTGTTGTAGTTATTGTGCGACAAATGTCGAAGTGCCACGTGGCTCATACGAGGACAACTCCTAGTATATACATGCTAAAAAATAAAGGTATGTTGGTAAGTGTGTTTGGAAAAAAAGTGAATTTGTATATTCTATGAATGAGTTGAAGAGACACTAAATTTTTTTATCGCATTTGGTTTTGCAAAATTATTAAATTAATTTTGTCTCTTTGGCTTCTAGGAAAAACCTAGATTTACTGTGTTTAAATTGTTTTTTAAGTTACATCATTGATGAGGAGTTTTATACAACATTTAAATGGGTTAATCACTTTAAACAGTGTTCAATTTCCGAAACCTTCTCAACATTTAAAACCTCCAAATAAAGTGCCTTAATGTGTTTTTAATTTCTTCAAATAGGTATTTTATTGTTGTTTAAGGTGGTCCTTGTGGCCATGCCTATATATAGTTCGAGAATGTAGTATATCCGATGCCAAGCTCTAGAATTCTTTAGCACCTTTTATGTGTTATATTTCTTGAGTTTATTATGTAAATTTTCGTTGTTATGTGTTACTATTTTTTATAGGAATAGTCTATTTAATCTTAAGAGCAACTGCTAATCAATCTAATGTGATAAAATAGCTCTTTAAGGTAATGCCCTTGAGCATGAGTCAAATTATAATTTTACTTGTTATTACCAACATGTTTGACAATGGTTTCATCGCCAACTTTGTGGAAAATTATAATATAATCACAATGTCTAGTGTATACTAATAATGTGATGTTGTCTAGTTTTACCCTTTAAATTATTGCTTTTGGAAGATATACACCTTGACTTGATAAAATGGTAAAATTGTTAGAAATTATGTTTTAGGATCAATCATTGTATTATGAATATTATTATTTAATGAATTTTTTTTGTTATCTTATTAATTGCATATTTACTATGATAATTATATCCTTAGACAAACTATAGTGATTGTCCTAAATGCCTCTAACCGGTCACATGTAAGGGATCATAAATGAAATGAGATCAGTATGACTGATTAATTATAGAGATATAAATCAAAATTATAGATACTTAAAAAGGTACAAGATGTCGAAACGATTCGCTATGAGAAAGCTGTATGATACAAGTAATAAGCTTATCTTATATGCAACTATGTCACTGAGCCTTTTGACCTTAGATCATTATAGATTCCTACATGATAATTATCAAACTTTGATCTAGTAAAAAATTACCTTTAATCAGGTGATCATAATGACTATAATTGAGTTTTGTGATGTTCATGTAAAAGAATATGAGTGGTTAAGATAAAATTTATCCCTCACATTAATTGAGAAATGTTATTAAGCCCCTCGATGAGTAAGACTGAAAAAATATATGACCATATTACAATGAAAAAGGCTCTTCTATTGCTATAGTTGTAACATCTTGATTTTTAGATAATAAAGAAATTGTGGAATTAGGTTTTATTGAGGATAAAATAATAATAATAATAATAATAATAGAAATTTATATTATTCGAGGTTATTCAGAAATAATATTATGGTTAGGCATTTAATTATGAATTAAAAAATTTAAATTTAAAACCACATAAGAAGTATTTAGTTAAGATATAATTTTAAGATTTAGAATATATAAATAATTTTTTTACGTGTGTGTTAGTAAAAAAAAGAGAGAGAGAAAGGAGGTGGAAGGAACAAAAAAAAAAGGTGAAAGGTTATTTTTTAAGTTCCACATTGGTTAGATATGGGAAGAGAAGAGGTGTCCCTATATATAAAAGGAGGGGGACTTGTGTTAGGAAACATGAAGGGCTAAGATACAATTTGAAGAAAATTATAACTTATGATCCAAGAGTTTAAATAATTAAATTTAAATTTATAATTTTTTAATATAATTATAAGACCCATAATTCTATTTTTATATTATTTTTTCTCATTTTTCTCTCTCTCTCTCTTTGACGTTGCTCTACCTTACAAGGGGGTTTATTTTTTTTTTCTTCAGATATGCTCTAACTTTCTTGTTTAGATTGGCATTTAAAAAATTACTTAGTTACAAAATTAATTTTGTAGTTATTTCCTAAATAATATTAGCTTTCTAATGATATGATTATTTTGTAGAGTAGAGAAAATATTTTAATTAAAATTTTTCTATAAGATAGTTAATCTAATGATATGATGGTTTAAAAATACAAGTTAAAGTTTAGGGATATAATAAATATTATAGAATATTTCTTTGAGGTTGAAACTCATGTAAAAAAACTTTTGAGTTGGACTCTAGATCTATACGGTTGAATTTATGTTGAATTGGAGATGTAGGGCTAAATCTCTGATTATTAGATATTTATTTAAGTATAAATATGTATTTTTAAGGTTATAGATTGGTGATTTGAGGCTTCAAGAAAATTTTGAAATTTTTAATTTATTTTTGGACGAAATTTTTAGAATATAAAAGGATGAAATTATAATATTATAAGTGATTTGAGGGTTAAAAATAGTTTATTAGGATATGATAATTTTAGAAAAAGAATTTAAAAAATTAAATGAGGCATAAACTTTAAATTAGTGTTAATATGGATCTTAGGACTAAGACTTGCTAACTCTTTAAATTAGAGTCATTTATTAATTTTAATGTAAAATTAATATATAGTATTATGAAATAATTATGTAGATTGTATTGATAAAGAGAGCGGTGGAAGAGGAGTTGTGAAGGGGAATTTATTGTTCAAGACACAGGATAATTATTATTAATATGTTGTGATGGGTATGTATGTGATTGGTTATGTGTTGTTTTGTTATTTAAAAAAATTATGAATTATAAATTATTAAAAATAAATACTGTTACATACTTGTTTGGAATTATTGTCAAGTAGGTCAAAATTTATTTTTATTTATCATGATGAGATATTATTATTTGGTTATATTCTTGTTTGGATATTTAAATGATACATAACTTGTTAGGGTATTTTAATATATGGTATTATTAATAATTTTTGTTTGGTTAATTATTATTACGTGGTAAGCCCTCATTAGACCCAATGAGGGGTGTGTAGCTTGGTCCAACTCACCTTTGACCAGGTGATTTGGCGTCCAGACATGGCGAAAGGAGGATATAAAGTGTAATCATGCAATTAAATACTTGTTTCGTTTGATTGAAAATACTGTTGGGTTAAATATTTTTGTGTGCCCACTTAGCAATCGCATGATTAGTTACATCCATATGCATCATTACATATTAATTTTTGGTTACTGAGACTTTTAAGTCTCATTCCTCGTTGTTAATATTTTTACAGAAGCGAGTTTGGCCGAAAAAACACTAGAGGCATAACTTTGGTATATAAGACACCATCTTTTATGTTGCCTCTTATTTTGGATCATGCAATGTATCTAGTACCAACTTAAGACATACCTTATTTTGTGGAGCATATAGACTCTAATTCTTTTTATTAACTGCATTTATTATGATCAATAAGATTATGTTTGTCCCTCTTAATTCTTGAACTAATTTGAATATCATGTCATGAGGATCCTGTCTGTCCCTCATGGTTCATATTGCTTTTTGGTTCACATAACAATATAAAAAAATTGTATTTAGAAATTGTTTGAGATTCTGCCATTTTAAGATAAGCTTTTACACTAAATGCTGATTTAAAAATTACCATTTTTTATATGAATTGTTTTTACATTATTTTTCATTAGGTAACATTTTATTATAAATGTATTTTTAATTATTATGATAGAGCTTATTCATTATGTTAAATTTTTTTCACTATGGTAGGCTATTTGTAAAATATTTTATTTATATGATAAGCTCTTTTCCACCATAGTAGAGTTTTGAAAAGAAGTTTAGTTATTTATTATCATGGTAGAAATTTTTCTACCATGATAAGGGTTCGATGATATAAAAAAATAATTTTATTGAACTAATAATTTGTGAAAAATCAGTTTGAAAATTTTAGGGTGTTACAATAGTCAATCCACTCAAAGATCAAGAAAGTAATGGTCAAATAAAAGAGAATGACAATTTCATATTTTACATTTGACCAAAATATCACATGATAAAAGGAATATGATATGAATAAACGATAGGTTACATCAGATCATTGATTCCTACATGAATTGGGTAGTCATAATATTTTGCTATAGGCTACTTGTGATTTGTGGGTTAATAGTGTTATTGGTCTATTGTAAATTTTATATAGGCCTAGAGGGTCGTACATGAGAATAGCCCAAGTCGAGCTATAATGTCTAAGTTCATTAAATCATAAATATGTCCAAATTCAATGAATATAATGCTTTACCTAGGATGAAAGAAATAAATATTATATATATATATATATATATATATTTGTGTATGTATATATTATATATTATATTATATTATGTTATATTAGTTTTAAATTTAATTTTAAATGATAAATTAAATTTAATAACTAACATGATATGAGAGGATATTATATTAGTTCTATAATTTAAATTTTTAAGATAAATTCAAATAAGATATGATATCGTAAATTTAATTTATGAGATAAATTAAATTTTATTTTCGCTGGCTTAAGATATAATTTTTGAAGTAATTATAATTATTTTTTAAAATTTTAAAAAAATAAAAATCCTAATATATTTATAATACATAGAGGGGACGTGCTTATAAAGAGTGAGAAAGAGTCATAATAGCAAAGCAAAAAACCCTAAAGAAAAAGAAAAGGATGGATGGACATTTAGAGCACTAGCACGTTATTCGTGTGAATACTAGTAAAGATAGCCAATCTGCATTATTAGTTTCTAAGATCCAAACACTTGAGGGAAGCTTGAAAGTTTGACATATAAAAAAAAGAAGTTAAAGTACAATTTTATCTTTAAATTATTCTTAGAAAAATAATGTTATCCCTAAACTATTTATCGTAACAATGTTGCCTTTAAACTATTTCTAGAGGGACAATATTGCCCTCACCTTTTAAAAATCATAAAATTTAATAAAAATAAAATTATAATAATATTAAATAAAAATAATATTAAACGTATATATATAAAGTAAATATAAGAAAAAATATAAATTGTAATTTTATAACTTGTTTAGTATAAGTGGAT